GTACCTGACTTAGGGAGATACTTCCTGGTGGAAGTGAAGCCTAGAAGGTCCAATACCAAATGGTTATTGGTACTAATCGGAAGGGGGGTTTTGTACAAACCGAAAGCTTCACACGTTGCTAGGTCAGCTGTGGGACTACACTCGAGGGTCATTCTTAGATTCCTCATCTGTTCGATGGAGAACAAAATGGGAACTCTCCCCTGATCCAGAACCTCGATGGTTGTATCTCTTCTTGGAGTTGTGTTGAACCATAGAGTTACACGCTCCTTGATAAGAGCTGTTTCACTATCTGCGAAAGAGAACTTCGTGTTCGAAGGTGAGAAAGTGAAATCAATCATGCCTGGGGCACGTTGCTTCACGGCCTTGATAAGCCTGTTCACCGCATAGCGGGAACCCATAGCCCTAGTACAACCTGAGTCAAGTATGACAAAGGTAGGGTTCTTATCAAGATTGATCCGCTCTGTGAGAGCAGATAGGACGGTGTGCTGCAACGGAAACACCGCTGTTGCAGTTTCAACACCTTGCCCCTCGGATGGTTCAAAGACCTGGGGCACGTAACTCACTGATGAGTTGAACACGGGTTCTTGGTGCGCGCTCGGATCTGTGCCTCTACCTGATGATCCTGCTTGATTTCTTCTCTTCTTTCTCCGTGTTTTTCTTCGTGAGGCTTGTGATGCATAGTATGTATAAGACGTTTGATCGTCATAAGCGGCATAATTCCAACTGGAGTCAGTATAATAACTGTCCTCATACCATGAATCCCAGCTCGGTGCGGTGGAACTTTCATAGGCCTGTGGAGATCCAGTTTGGTCTCCTTGTAAGGAGGCAGACTTAGCTGTATCCTTACCTTTGCCTTTTGCCTTTGCGCCTTTGAAGGAGCTTCCTTTATCTCCTTTGTCCTTTCCTTTTCCTTTGCCTTTTCCACCTTTTCCTTTTTCCTTTCCTTTACCTTTACCGAAATAGCTGGAATCAGTTGGATCATGTTCTGCCTGGTTGGCTCTCCCTTTTCCGCGGTATGACCTAAAACGGCCACGTCCTTTTCGCTTGCCACCCTTTGCTCTTCCCGGTGATCCGGGACGCATTCTTGGTCTTCTTCCCTTTTTGAATCTCCTTGCAACGAAGGCCTCATGGTCATCAACTGTCCAGAAGACAGCTTCTTCATCCTCGGCGGCAAGAAAGCCTTCCTCAAGGGTGTCTTCGTCTTGGAGCCAGAATCCATCGACTCCATCGTATTCACCCTGATCGAGGATGAGGAAGTTTCGACCTCCGCGTTTACGGCGTTGGTCTCTCCTTCCATGGCGGTCCTTCTTGTGAGAAGAGTGCCGAATGTTGGGATCCTGCAGACCAGTTCTGGTCGTTGAGAACTGATCGAACATGGTCTGCCGTACCACAGGGTACGTGTAGGTCTCAATTCGGTGACCTTGGTTGGTCAATGCTGTTACCAACCTCTCACGTTGCATCTCATTTAGGTCGGACTGCACTAGGAAGAGGAGAGCTAGGAGATTATCGTTCAGAGGAAACGCTCTTCGATGATTGTCAAGGCGTTCCTTGTTCCATGTTTCGAAATAGCGTGCGGCATATGTGTCTCTCTCGGCTGCATCCTGCATGCGCAAGAAGGTTTGGTCTGCCTGCACAGCTTGCATGAAATCTGGATGGGCATCCTCCAGAGCTATCTCTGGTAAGAGATCCATCCATGAGTTTTTCACGCGCTGTAGCACGATCTCAAACTTGGCAATCCAAGTCACAAAGTCTTGGTTGCCCTTCCATGCCTTGAATAGGCCGAGGAAACGCCACAGGAAAACGTACTGTTCTCCTTTCACGAAAAATGGACGCATCTTCTTCTTGAAGTAATCTACTCCATCTGGGGCTGCAAGCCTTTCTCGGTTCAGTGATTCCTTTTGTACTGCGGCCAATCCGGAGAGCCTCGTCTTGAGAGACGGACCTCTTTTGGTGTCATCCAGCGTTGTTATGTCGCACCAGTCGTCAATCAACTGTTCATACTCAAACCACGAGGTGGTGCCATCATAGGCAGGCGCGATCTTGGGCGTTATGCCTAATGATGCAAGCATGCGGTCAGATGTTGCATATGACTGTGCGACATAAGTGGCTGGACCTTGGGAGGTCTCTTCGTTCTCATATCCCCCGGAGGATTGGGAACTGTCGTCGGCTTCGCTATGCGAGCTCGACATTGTGCTGCCTCTTATCCGCTTGGTTAAGCGTTCGGCGAGGCCGACCGCTGTAGCGGACTTTGGGAGGCGGGCGGCCCTTTCCGGGCTCCGCTACCAGAAAACTGAGCCGATACACCCACAAGGAAATGCTCCTTGTTAGGAGGTGTATGACCAGTTTATTCCCTAAGGATCAAAGGGCAGCGCCCTGCACACGGACAGTAGTTGTTTTGTCTTGCTACGCAAGGAGAGCTTGTCTTGTCTCAATATGGTAAAACCACTGTGAGCCAATGGGCAGCGGAATGTATATGTATGAGCATGCAGCCATTGCTGTAGGTACCTGTTAGAGCTACCCCTTTAGAGGTTTACGCAAACAGGGGGTTGTTGTTCGAAGAAACGGAGGGGAAGAACAACAAGGGGGGGGTTGTTGTGCTAAGAAATAAAGGAGAAGAACAACAGGGGGTGCGGGGGGGGTGTTGTTGGGGTTTAAAAAGCGAAGAAAATACAATTGATCATGAATGGTTTGAGGGACGCGGGGGCAAGTACACGAAAAAAAGCGTGAACGCAGGGGGTGGGGTAAACAAGAAGGGGGCGGGGGGGTTACGACGACCACCAGACAAGGAGGACGGGAGAGGGGGGGGGAAGGGAACAACAAGGAAGGTCTCAAGAAGGGGTGAACAACAAGGGGGGGTTGTTGTTCTCTCAGGAAGGGGATGAACAACAAGGGGAGTGGGGGGTTGTTGTTCTCTCAAGAAAAGCGAACAACAAGGGGGGGAGGGGTTGTTGTTGTTCCGATAAGAAGGTGGGCACAACAAGGGGGGGCGGGCAGTCAAGGGAGAGAAGAAAGGACTACTACGACCGGCATTACTACTACTACTACTACTACTACAACTACTACTACTACTACTACTACTATTTCTTCTACTACTACTACTACTACTACTACTACTACTACTACTATTTCTTCTTCTTCTTCTACTACTACTACTACTACTACGACTACCACTATTTCGACTACGACGACTACTACGACTACTACGACTACTACGACTACTACGACTACTACTACTACTACTACTACTACTACTACTCTACTACTACTACTACTACTACTACTACTACTACTACTACTACTACTACTACTACTACTACTACTACTACTACTACTACTACTACTACTACTACTACTACTACTACTACTACTACTACTACTACTACTACTACTACTACTACTACTACTACTACTACTACTACTACTACTACTACTACTACTACTACTACTACTACTACTACTACTACTACTACTACTACTACTACTACTACTACTACTACTACTACTACTACGAGTACTACAACTACGAACGACTGCGACTACCACTGGTACTACTGGTACTACTACTACGAGTACTACCAAGGCTTGTTGAAGATCTACGCTCGGTACGTCCGTTCAACTGCACGGCGGAGCTCGTCTCATGCGAACGCCCGTCGGGAATCGACGCCTTCGGGTTTTTTTCCATCTCCCTGAGGTGTGCGGCTCCGGTTTCAAGGCCGCAGCCAAAGCCGTGACTAGAGACAAGCTTTGTGGCTGCCGCCATCGCAATCCTCTTGTGGGATTTTTCTAAAGGCCAGACGCTGTAGGGCTCATAGTACTAGTATCCTCATACTCAAACCCAAGATATACAATCACCAACATCCAGAACGGTCCCTATCTACACTCACTGAACCCGTCCGGCACGGAACCTCTCAAAACCTGTACAGACAGCAGCCCATCTGCCAGAGCAGCCTGGCGTCCGCTGCGGAAGAGGTTGAGATTGGCATGCGCGTGGTTAGTGGCGAAGATTCACACTATTGGAGCGTACTGGGTGGTGACCCCACCTAGGAAGAAGGGCCCACTGGAAGACTCGGTTTTGGATTCAAGTTCGAGTCTTATGTTTAGGGCTTGTTAAAAGCTTGGGGGGCGCGTAGAGTGGATGACCTTTATCGAGTCTCTGGAAATATCTTTCTCCAAGCTCCAACCTCATTTGCCTGAACCACTATGTTCGGAGCACTTCTTCAAGTCAAGCTGCGGGATCAGGGTCTGGGTTTAGGGTTTAGGGTTTCAGGTTTAGGTTTAGGGTCTACGGTTCAGGGGACATCAAAATCACTACTCCCTCTCCCTCACGCGGATAAGGAAGACATCCTCGAAGGTCTACATAGGCCCACGGGCTCCTGGAGCTTGAAACCTAAGGCCTTAAACTCAACGGGCTGTCCCACACCCGAATTCAAGGGTTCCGGCAAAAAAACCTTAAAGAAACCCCTCAAGGATCCCTGAAACAAGCGCTACATCCACCCGAAACCCGAAACATCCTACGGCCACGCTAAACCCAAAACACCCCAAACCCAAAACACCCCAAACTTAAAACTCCCAAACCGTAAACACCCGAAACCCAAAACACTTCAAACCCAAAACACCCAAAACACCCAAAACACCCTAAGCGGTCACACCTGCACCATGGCTGGGCCATGAATTTGGGGATTCCTTTGTATAAGCAGGGCCAGCCTACGGTCTAGGATTTCGTATCCAGGGTTTAGTTTCTTGAACCCGGCAGAAAACAAGTAACTTGGTCCCGAGCAGCCCAAAGCTGCAAAAAGCCAACAACCAGCACCCCTGTAATCAATCCCTCAATCCCGAGACCGCCCTGCCGCCACGCGTAATTAGTCGAGCGGCCTAGAGCCACATCGCTCTGCCAGAAGCATCGATGGCATACAGCCTGGATAAAAGAGCGGCTAGAGGTGCAAGCAGCTGCAGCGAAGCCCCTCCGCCTTCCGGGCTGAACGTTCAAGCTCCTCCGCACGTCAAGCGCTGGCCGCGGCGGCGGGGGTGGCGGCGGCACGGAAGCAGCAGCAGCACCAGCGGGTGCGGAAGCCTGGGAAGCTCGCAACCCTGAGATCCGATACGGAAGCCGTGCTGGGTCAATGCAGTGGATTCCCACTGCAAACACTACAGCTACGTCCCGGTCAGGCGCATTTCACAGGCAAGGTTGCGCTGCTGGTTTGCCATGAGCACATGCGAAGTATCAGCATACACCCACTGTATGAAATGCCCAGGGGCAGTCAGGTGCTGTGCGAAGGCCTGGACGTCGGCCTTGGACCGGTGCGGGGCGCAACATCAAGGTAAGGACCAACTGCCGGCCGGGGCGCCCAGGTCACGGTGATCGTATCCGACGGCGCCTGCACATGCAACTTCGTGAAGCCGTGAAAAACGGTAGGCCGGGTATGGCCGAGTTGGAAGTCTCCAAGCTTCGAAACGCTCCAGGCCCTGGGGTGCTGCTGATACACAAGCTGACAGCCAACCAAACGTCCTCTGCTTGAAAAGTCACAACTCAAACCGCAAGACGCCAAGGCCGCCAAGCCCTGGACCGTTGCATGAGGGCTATTCGGTTTGAGAGCCTTAAGAGGGCGGGGAGGCTTATTGTTCCTTCAAAAGGGGAACAACAGGGGGGGGGGGGCTTATTGTTCTCTCAAAAGGGGAACAACAAGGGGGGGGGGGGCTTATTGTTCTCTCAACATGGGAAACAACAAGGGGGGTGGGGGGGGGGTGTTGTTGTTCCCCAAATCCATGAACAACAACCCCCCCACCCCTCTATCGAAGCGGTCTGGGGGACTTAGTAAGTGGTTATTTTAAGGAGTTATAAGTACCATAACCCCAGTTAGGATCCCTTTTAGGGTACTTATAAGTCTACTTACCACCTACTTACTAAGTCCCCCGACCCTCCAAGTACTATAGATACCTTTTGCAGTCCCGTTAGGGAACCCTTATAGATCCCTGCAAAGGAACCCATATGCGGAGTTGTCAAAATCATGATCCCTATTTGGGTACCCTAAATGTTAGGTGCCGTATGATATTAAGGACCCAACAAGGGACCTCATTTTGACAACCGCCCAAACAAAAGCACCCTTATAGATCGCTTTAAAGGAACCCTTATAGATCCCTGTAAAGGAACCCTTCTGGATCCCTTTAAAGGTACCCTTATAGATCCCCATTTAATGAGAACCTAGGATTGCAGTCCTTTGCCACTCCCTAAACCCTAAACCCTACAGACACCTTTTAGAACCCTTTCAGGAACCTTTTAAGGAACCCTTTGAGGAACCCTAAGTATTCGAAAATCTAGGAGCCAGCCTCCTATTGCAGTCCTTTGCCAGTCTGTCTCCGTTCCCTTCTCGGTCGCAAGCTGCCGCAGCGCCGCAGCCGCTGCCTCGGCCCCGGCTGCGGCCAGGTGCCCCGCCTGGGAGATTGGGGGAGGCTTTAGGGATTAGGGTTTAGAGTCTAGGATTAAGCTTTCGGGTTCAGGGTTTAGGATTTAGAGTCTAGGATTAAGCTTTCGGGTTCAGGGTTTAGGATTTAGAGTCTAGGATTAAGCTTTCGGGTTCAGGGTTTAGGATTTAGAGTCTAGAATTAAGCTTTAGATTTTAGGGTTTAGGATTTAGAGTCGAGAACTAAGCTTTAGGGTTTAGGGTTTAGAGTCAAGGATGAGGGTTTAGGATTTAAGGTGTAGAGTCTAGGATGAGGGTTTAAGGTTTAAGGTTTAGAGTCTAGGATGAGGGTTTAGGGTCGAGGGAGACACACCCGGCCACCGAAATTTGAGGAGGCGTTAAGGATCACGGTCAGAGTGATTAGGGTTTAGGGTCTGGGATTAGGGGCTTAGGGTTAGAATGGTTAAGGTTTCGGGCTTGGGGATGGTTCGAGGGTTCGAGGACGGGAGAACGAATGAAGGGAGGATGAAGCCCTGCACCATGGTTAGAGTGATTAGGGTTTAGGGTTTAGGGTTAGAATGGCTGAGATTTTATTAGGGTTTAGGGTATGGTTAAGGTTTAGGGCTTAGGCTTAGGGATGGTTAGAACGAATGAAGGGAGGATGAAGCCCTAAAAGGTTGCCGGAACTCATCCGGGCCTGCACCGCAGAGCTGGACTGCTTCCTTCTCATGGCCTGTCGCACCTGCAGGGAAAGCTGCACAGAAGAGGCAATCCTAAGAGCAGCATGGCTCACTGCAACCAGGCAAACCACCAATGACCGTCCTCGTAAATTCTCCGACTGTGCAACAACCCGTGCGGAACCCCTGATGTGACAGCGGTGCGTTTCGGGCGATAGTCGCTTGTGATGCAGACATGGCAAGCGATTGCGACCAATGCAGCAGGCATGGTAAAGCAAAGTTGTAAAATTCTGGACCAACTTAACTTTCTGCACAAAGGTACATATCGTCGACAACATAAAACAACGGAGCATCCGACATTGCCCAGCAAAGCAAGCACGAGCGCGTGCACACACATGGCTTCTTTTGAGCGCCTCATCTGTGCGAAGCTCTTCCGACAGCTCTGCCACAGCCGCCCGGACAGCGGAGAGGCTTGCTGCCGTATCCTGACACGACTCGCCGTTTCCACGAGAAGCTGTGGTAATAAGATTTCGTGAATGCCTAAACCGACACAACATTATATGCCCCAAGACTCTACGTTATCAAACCAGAAGCATAACGCAAGCTGCGTATCTAAATAATATGATATACCCTGCGACCCTTTCTCATGAATAGCATCGCGCACCCCAAGACCTGCTACAGGGCAGCATCGGAACCCTGAAAAAAAAAAACTCTTATAGAAGCTTTATAGACTTATGGGAACCCTTAAAGCCTTGTAGAACCTGTCGGCCTCCATCTCCTCTTTCCCGGCGAGCCAGAAAACGTTCACATGCTCCTTCGGTACCAGCTAGGAAGGAATGAACTACAGGAACTGGGTTTAGGATCTTAGGGCTTAGGCCGTTTATTGGGCTACCGTCTCGAATCTTTGAAAAACACAGAAACTAAACCCTAAACTTGCCCGAAACCCTAAACCCCAACCCCTAAACCCGAAACGTTACACCGAAACCCCAAACCCAAAACGCCACAGAGTAAAAAGGAGCGGGCTGTTTTGGTAAGGCAAAGGTGGTTGAAAGCCTCTGGTCAAACCAGTGGCCTTACAACCTTTATGGTAATTATCTAGGCCCCTGTATTAACCCCATTACCATGAGGAACCGCAAAAAAATGATAACAATCTAGGCCCCTACATGTAGCCCTAAACCCTAAACCCTGAGCTTCTCGGTCAGCCCTCCGAAGCATCATCATCCCCATGCCCCTTAAGGTGAAGTAGGGGGCCCCATCGCTTTCATCCGGTTTAGGGTTTAGGGTTTAGGGTTTAGGGTTTAGGGTTTAGGGTTTAGGGTTTAGGGTTTGGGGTTTAGGGTTTGGGGTTTAGGGTTTAGGGTTTAGGGTTTAGGGCTAAACCCACGTTCCGACGTTCTGCGGTTCGCTATAACCTCCCAAACAATACTGAAAAATTTTGGTCCCCTACATTACAACCTCGACGCTAAACCCTAAATCCTGATGTTAACCCTAAACCCTAAACCCCTACACCCCTAAACCCCTGAACCCCTAAACCCAGTAACCTCCAAACTCCAAGCCCCTAAACCCTGGAACCCTAAACCCTCTAACCTCCACCAAGGCTCTTCCAGGCAGCTGAGCCTTAGCTGAGAATCGCAAAAACACCAGCGAAAAACGAGAATCGCCGGATTGAAACCCTAAACCCTAAACCCTAAACCGGAAAGGCGGTAAGGCGGTTCAGGTCTTGGATCGGGGGCTGAAGGGTAGGCGTTTGGGGTTCAGGTCTTGGGGCTTATGAGGATTTTGGGATACTTTGGGCTAAGGACTTAGGATTTATGAGGATTTTGGGTAGTTGTTGGCTAACGGCTTGGGATGAGGATTTTGGGACATGTTGGGTTTTGGAAATGATCTGTGCGACGGAGCAACTCCAGCTCCAGCTCCTCTAGGGCTGTCGTTTGACCCACCTCAAGCTCCTCAGCTCTCGACCAGACGGGCTCTTCGAAACGAGGCTGCTCCGTGGGTTTATTTTGATGTGCTTGTGGTTTCTGGATTGCTAAGATATCATAACTAACTTCTGCGGTTTCTGAGCTCCTAACATAGTATAACTAGCCCTAAACCCCATAAACCCTAAACCCAAAAGAGTATCCACCGTTCCCCGCCTCAAGCTCCAGCTCCCTCTCCCAGGTCTCCACCAACTTCGCCTTGGCCTGGGATGTTTGTTAAGGAACTGAATTTAAGTTACCATAATCGGGATCTATGAGGGTTACTTTAAAGGATCTATAAGGGTTCTTTCAAGGGTGTAGGGTTTAAAACTACCATACGAGAGACCTATATTCCTTAAAAAGACCTATATTCCTTCAAAGGTTTTGGGTTTAAGTTACCATACTAGAGACCCATATTCCTTTCAGGGTTTGGAGCTCAAGTTACCATACTAGAGACCTATTTTTTGTGTTGTTTTGGTTTCCTTAGGTCACCAACTTCGCCTTCTCGCTGGAGGTCGTGCCGGGCGTGACCGAGGGCGCTTCCCTGGAGACCTCAGACGCCGAAACGGCAAGACTAGTATATACTATTTTTTACTACTATGTACTATTATATAGTACTATATAGTATAGTATACCATGATATAGTATTATATGCTATGATATACCCAAATACTACGATTATGCACTACTGTAGACGATGATATACTCTTATATACGTTCATGTCCTATGAACTCTGAAATTACATGTTTACCAAAAGGCGTTGATGTACTTGCTAAATACTCGTATTTATAGTTTGATATACGACTATGCACTAGTCTACGGTGACCTTTGATCTACCCCACAAAACTTTGAAAAATATTGGTAGCAAAGATCCTCTTAAGCCCAACATAAGAGCAAACATAAAATGTCCCAAAGCCCTACCCAGGGTTCTTTTAGAGTAACCATTCTTTGAAAAACCCTAAACCCTAAACCCTAAACCCCTAAACCCTAAACCCCAAAACCCCAAAACATCTCAGCGGGGCACAGCAGAGCCTGGCTTTGGGCTCGGCGTCTTCGGCGCCTCTTTGAGCGCCTGCACCTTGCAAAGCCCCACTTGGAGGGTCGGGGGACTTAGTAACTGGTTATTTTTAGGACTTATAAATGCCATAACCCCAATTAGGGTCCCTTTTAGGGTACTTATAAGTCTACTTACTACCTACTTACTAAGTCCCTCGACCCTCCAAGCAGAGACTCCAAAAGCCCTTAATTAATATACTTTGTCAGGGCTCCTTAAAGGATCTATAAGGGTTCTATAAGGGGATTAAGGAATATGCCTTGAATTATAATAGGATCCCTAATGTGATTTAAGGCATATTCCGTAAATAAGGGTTTTGGAGTCTCTATGGCCAAAATAAAGGAAGTTTAGGGTTCAGGACTAGGAGTTAGGGGAATTATTGGGGATACAAACCCTCTCAATAAGTACCCTTTTAAGAAAGCCAGAAATAGGGTTAAGAAGGGTTCCCTTTTGGGTGCAGAATGTCTTTAGTAATGTTTTGGAAGGGGGGAGGGGGGAGGGGGGCGGGGGGGGGGGGGGGGGGTAGTGCCGGGGCAAGTAAGCACCAGCAAAAAGCTGAGAAGCAGAAAAGCGGAAAAGCAAGAGCAAAAAGCAGACAAGACCCCCCCCCCCCCTCCCCAAAAAAAATAAAATACAAAATGCCCACACATGCAAAAGAAAAAAGAAACAACAAAAAAAAGACACTCCCTTCCCTTTTAGGAGTGGATGACACACCGGGTAGCAGCCTCCTATGGTTTCGGATTCCTTTGAAGGGTCCTGTAGGGTTCTTATATAAGAGGGCTCCCTTAAGGGTTTGGGGTTTAGGGTCTACTGGGAGGATCATGGTACTTAGTAACTAGGGCTCTTTATAAGGATAGATAGCTCCAGTTAGGGCCCTTATAACCTTACTATACTTACTAAGTCCCATGATCCTCCAAGTACGGCTTCCTATGAACTTCAAGCATCTAATTATACCTTGCTATTTGTATAGCATCTAAAAAATGTCGAAGCATGTGCAATAACAGTTGATATTACATATTATATCATTGTGACATATTAGGACAACTCTGTGCCCAGATTGCGGCGAGCTTCTCTCGGGGACTGCAGCTTCCTGGGCTTCCTGGGCCAGCAGAGGCGTATCGGGTTTAGGGTTTAGGGTTTGTTAAGGTTTAGGGTTTAGGGGTTTAGGGGTCGAGGGGTCTAGGGTTTAGGGGTTTAGGGTTTAGGGGGTTCATTAGGGTTTAGGGGTTCATTTAGGGGACTTGCGACATGCCCGGCCTGCTTGTCAGTGCCACCGGCATCTCCTCCTCCGCCGCATCGATTGCGCTGACCGGCTTAAAGCGCTTTGCGCGTGTAGCCGTCCCGGTCTTCAGAGGCGTCCGGGGAGTGATAGCTGCCTGCTTGTGTGCAGGAGGAATATCTTGGTGAACGACCTCCTCTTGAGGTGGCCCGTCCATGGCTAGAGGGGGCGACTGCAAGCAGCATGATCAAGGCTCCACCAGAGTCCCTGCCTAATTACAGCATCTTCCAGCGAATATAGGGGCCTAACTAGTTAGAACAGGGTTTGGTGATATATTCTACTAGGTAATTGTTAAGGACACTATAGTACCTGCAAAATCTTCCAGACTACCAGCGTTTCCGTGACGGCTTTGTTCTTCTCTTGCTTTGTCAGCTGGGCTGCTTTAGCGACGAGCTCAGCGGAGGCTTCCTCTGCAAGGAACAGCATTGCATGACCATGCAAATATTCGCTGCAGCATATATCATGTGGAGCTCTTCGCAAACTTTTTTCTTCTGCGACACATGTCCCCACAACCATCAATGTACACTTCACGGACAAGAAAACAAGAATAGACGTCTCCCTCGCCCACACATAAGAGCAGGCACTGCAGTCAACTGAAAAAAAATATGGACGGCATGCCTCGCATGGCGGCTGTTTTCGTCGGAGCACCCGAAGCTTCACTAGTGCTACCGTCTACCCAGAACAGCCGGACAGACTTGATTCAACATCTCTGGCTTCTGCCTGGCCGCTCGGGTGGAAAACACCTCCTTGAGAGGCACTCTAGAAGAACTCTGACCCGATTCGGTGAGACTTGTCGCCAGTGAAGCGCTAAATGCCCCATCCCTCTAAAACCGTAAGCCCCGTTTCAGGCTGATCCTAAACCCTAGACCTTGATCCAAATCCCTAAACCAACCGTAAACTTGATCCTTAACCCAGAAACCCTCAGCCACAGCTTGGTGACCCTCTTTCAGGCAGTTCATCAGACTCCACTGGTCTGACACGTGGAAAGTTCCCGACTCAAGTTCCCTGCGTTTTCTTTAAAGCAAGGGGGTAAAGATGTCTAGGGGTAAAGTAAAAGCCAGAAAGTTGGAATATGATTATCCTAAACCCTTTATGGTAAATTATAGGGTATCCTACCCTGAAACCATATTCCAACTTTCTGGAGTTCCCCTTAAAGGGTGTCGGGTAAACGGATCAGGGTCCTTATAAGTTCCCTGCCTTTCTTTAATCACAGGGGAAAAGGAGGGACCCTTAATGGGGACCCCTAGCCTATAATGGGCTATACCTAGAGGTCCTTATTAAGGGTCCCTCCTTTTACCCTTGGATTTAAAGCAAAGTGATCAGGGCCGTTACAAGTACCCTGTGTTTTCTTTGAAGCAGAAGGCTCCGCATCGCTTTCATACTGCTTTGCAGCGGTTTCTCAAAGGGTTCCTGAAAGGGGAATAATTACCAATACTTTCTTTTTGTGGGGGGAGGGGGGAGGGGGGTGGGGTCCTTTTATAATTATGACATAACGGGCCCCAGAAACCTTATTCTAATTATTGAGGCACCTATACTATAGAACCCTATTATAGATCCCTTGCAGCAACCCTTATAGACCCCTTTAAAACTGTTGATGGTCAAAATCCTGCATGACCCTAAGGACTCTGAACTATGGGAACTATGGTATATTCCTTATAATGGGTAATGCAGGATTTTGTCCATCAACAGAAGGAACGCCAAGGCTGCCACAGTCAGAGGCTAGGGTTTAGGAACCTTGAGGAACTTCAGGGGCTGCAATGTTGCAGCCTGACTTCCGGTGCCGTTCGGCAGCTGTCTGCCAATTTTTGAAAAGAGTTCCCAGCGAGTCCCGTACACCTGAATTGAGGAATCTTCCTGAATACTGTACCCTGAAACCCCAAGCCCTGAACAGTAGGGTTTAAGGAAGATTCCTTAATTGCGGTGTACTGAGCTCTCTGGGCCTGGGTCATCTTGAATATGTTTGCAGCTTGAAAGGATGGCCGAGCCTTTCAGAATCCTTGAAAGCATCACGCTACAATAGGGGCCTGAATAATTAGAATAGGTCTTCAGGCTATGTTACTATGTTAAAGTATACATGACCAAAGACACTTGCCTAAATCACAACTGTCAAGAAGTGCAATGCGTGCGCACATGATGAAAGGGTCTTGGCATGTGGAGGGACTGTCTTCTCAGAACGTCAGCGCCACTGCTGACCAAACCGCTCTCACGGCAGTTCCTACCTCAGGGTTAGGTTTAGGGGATTGCCGGAAGGGTTCTAAGTGGCCAGGCCCGTTGGGACATAAGACGCCAGCCCTGAAATTCCTCTTCCCTTGGCAGCACCTAACACCAGACATCCTGGGTATTCCTAAAACCCTAGACCATATAGCAACCCTTAGAATAACTTTTTGCCGTAACCCTGTCAAAGTCCTTCACGTAATCAAGCATTGAAGATTGAATGATGTGCATCTGTGCTTGGTCTGAGCATGACACTGCAAATTGCTACAAATTAAAACCTTGCAAATTTGCATTGGCATAAATATCAGTATTCATAGTACAGTATTAGTTTTAACTAGCATTAGCGTCCGGAGAAGTCCGTCCCTGTCCGGGCCCACCACTCAATTTTGCACTGAGCCCACGTACTCCAACAACTCCTCGCCAGCACACGCGGGTTCGGAGATGGAGGCACTGTTGACCACGCGACCCATTCAGTTAGCTCTTAAAGCAAAACAACTGAGTTGGCATCAACGCTCCTTCTCCACGATGGAGGAAAGCCCAGCGTTTTGCATGCCTCCATGCGGAACAAAAAACCGACGGCACTGTGACTGCCGCTCCGGCTCTCTCCACTCAGACATGGCACCACGTCTCAAGGATTCCACAAGGGCCCGAGTCGTCGCAAACTCCTCTAAACATTCGTGAACCCGTTTGTTAGCCTTATAAGCCTTAACCCCAAAAACCCTACACCGCTACAACCCCTACAACCCTAAGCCCCAAACCCAGAACTTTAAACCCTAAAGCCCTAGACCGTAAAGCCTAAAGCCCTCAAAGCTACCCCCTGATAGTGTCCTTATAGACCACAACTATCATTCTGTCGGAAAGTCACAGGGCTGGGCGCCTAGTCGCCGTTGAAGCTCCACCAGGATCTCGGAGCCTCCGATCTTTCGGAGTTTAGGGTGAAGTGTTAAGGATTTAGGGGTTAAGGTTTCTCGACAAACGGATTCAGGGCTTTGCTTTAGAGCATGAAAGGATCTACGAGTATCATTCTTTAGCGGTTCGGCTGGCGTTCCTGTAAAGGGATCCATAAAGGTTCTGCAAGGGACCTATCAGGATGCGAGCTTTCGAAAAGGTTTAGAAGGGCTCCGTTCAGGGTTCTTTGGGGGGTTCCTTGCAGGTTTCCTTTACGGTTGTTTCTATGAGGGTTCTTTTTACAACGTTCCTAATACTATAAGGGTCATGGGGTTTAAGGCTTTAGGGCTTGGGGGCTTTAGGCCCTCCGGCTTGAAGGCTTGAGGACTGTAGGACTTTGGGGGAAGGCTTTACCTTAAGGGTCCAACTAATAGTCATATACTCTCCAAAATAGTAACCTACATACCTGCTATCCTGAACCCGAGTACCTAAATATTGGCTGGACCCTTGGGGTTAGGGTTTGGGGACAGATCTCCTCGGGCTGAAATACCCTGTCACGTGCAGGGCGCACTGCTCTGGCCTAGAGTAGAGGATACTTAGAGGGTCGGGGGACTTAGTAAGTAGGTAGTAAGTAGACTTATAAGTACCCTAAAAGGGACCCTCCAAGCAAAGCAGATCATAATCGAGGGCTGTTACCTAAACCCCAGACCGGGTGTGGGGTGTTCTACAGCAGATCATAGTCGAGGGTAGATAACCGGGCTGGTAACCCTAAACCCTATAAACCCTAAACCTGGTGTGTGTGGTTTTCTCTTGTTCTTGCCTTTGGTTAAATGGGGTATAATTACAACTACTATTACTACCATTCTTCCATTCCCTACTAACCAAAGGTAAGTTTAGGGTTTGACGGGTTTAAGGTTTAGGGTTTAGGGGTTTAGGGTTTAGGGTTTGGGGTTTTAGGGTTTAGGGTTTAGGGTAACATCATGGAGGGCCTTAGCACGAGCTTGGGAGCTGGCTTGGGTTCGAAAAGCCGACACCCTAAAGTTTAAGGTTCAGGAGCCTGTTTGCCACTAGGTGCAGTCATGTATTTTGTGTTGGACCTAGCAGTTTGCCCGGGCACCTGGTGTTCTCTCCTGCTCCACCTGGGAGTTCCCGAGAATAGGGGACCCTAAATTGTAGGATCCTTATTATAAGGATCCCAAAATAGGGTACCCCTAATTTTCGGAAACTCCCATACAAGCCCTAAACTTTCGACCCGACGCTCTAAGCCATGAACCCGGAAACCCTAAGCCGAAGCACTTGGCGTTCTCTCCAACTCATCCATGATCCGGTTGCTCAGCTTCCATGGCGACTTCGGCTGCGCCGGTGGCTCCTCATTGGGCTAGGGATTTTTCTTTTGAGCTCCCTTTTCCGCCTAGGGTCACAAGCCCTTGACGAAAAGTTTTGGGTTTAGGGTTGACTCGTCGGGTGGTTATGATGGGTTGATGGGCTTAGTGGTGAGGGGAAACGGTGCCGTACTAAGAATAGAACTGCCTGCTCCTTATTGCGATTACGGCGCTGAAGGCTTGGAGGGCCTTTATTAGGGTTCCTTTGAACAGGTCTATAAGGGTTACTACAAGTATAAGGGATCTATAAGGGATCTCTAAGGGTACTATAGTAATGTAGGAATCAGATTAAGAACCCCTGGCCTGTATTAAGGTTCTTTCTATGAATCCTACTAGTATTTTGGTGTTATAGGCCCAGGGTTTCTTAATCAAGTTCCTACATAGAAGCCACATAAGCCCATGTATAGTAACCCGATAGCAACCCTTCCAAAAGCATGTAGGAATCCTCATCGTCTAAATTCCCATATTTTTGTAGTACCCTTCTAGATCCCTTTTAGTAACCCTTATAGACCCCTTTACAGGGACCCTTAGATTTCTACATTAGGCCTCACACTTTTTTGGAGGCGGGGTGGGGGCAGGGTTTAGCATTAGGGTTCAGGGCTTCGGGCCTTGGGGGCTTGAAGGATGAGGGTAGGGGTTTAGGGTTTGGGGGTTTAGGGTTTGGGGGTTTAGGGTTTAGGGGTTTAGGGGTTTGGGGGTTTGGGGGTTTAGGGCTTAGGGTTTAAGAGTCAGAGTTTACGGTTTCGGTGTTTAAAGTTTAGGGTTTACGGTTTAGGGCTTAGGGTTTTTGTTTAAATGCAATCCGCCTTTTCTGTGCGTGCGACCCTGCCTCTACAGGCTTGCACTAGGGCTTAGGGTTTAGAGCTTAGTTTCGTAGAGTTGGAGCATCTTGGCTGCATGATTCCGCTACTCAGGGATGAGGGTTCATGTTCTTCAGGGCTGTATGTTTATCGTGTTCAGAAGTTTGGAGTTTTGGGGAGATCTCCTGCAACCTGCCGCTAGAAAGAACAATAACGTCGATAATGAGCACAACAATAACGATAACAATAGTAGAAGATGCTCATACCAGTAACAATCATAGTAATGGTACAAGTCAGACAGGATCCGAAAGCAGCGAAGTGCCTGGATGGGCTGCTGGATTCTGGGCGTCGAGGGCACCGAGCCTGCAGCGGTGCACCAGGTAGTGGTAGTAGTAGTAGCAGTAGTAGTAGTAGTAGTAGTAGTAGTAGTAGTAGCAGTAGTAGTACACAGAACTTTCCACACATGCGACGGCTCTGCGAGACACAGTGTACGAGGCGCCAGCCACCCTTCGATTTCTGCCGCAGGAGGCGGTAGACCTTCTTCACGCGCTCCTCACAAGACATGCACGAAAAACATTAATGACGACAGTGCTACTGGCAACACTCGTAGTAAGCATACTAGTCGCAATAGCAACAGTCGACATCATCATCGTCATCATCATGCTCATAAGGCAAACAATGACCCTAAACCTAATAGCAACAACAACACTAGTCACACCAAGTGTCATGACTGTCATGCACCATCATGCTCATAATCATAATCATTTAGTCGTCATCAGCATCACCATCATCATCATCGTCATCACCACCATCGTCATCATCACCATCATCAAACCAACAAAAGAAGAAGGATAAGAAGAAGGATAAGGATAAAGGCCTACGATCCTCTTACTGCGGGCAGGACCCACTCAGCTGGGATGCCCAGCCTGCACTTCGTCCTGGCTCCGGAGGACGGCGGTTTTGAACCTCGCTTCAGCCACGGGATCGTCGGCTTCAGAATTCTAGGGTTTAGGGTTTAGGGTTTAGGGTTTAGGGTTTAGGGTTTAGGGTTTAGGGGTTTAGGGTTTAGGGTTTAGGGCAATACCTATGAAAGTTAGAGAATATTCCTTCTGCAATGGTTGTTCGTAGTGAGTATATGGTTATTCGTCTTACCTATAGCTAGTCAGGTAGTATGCTTGATGCTAGTATTCCTCGGTATTGGCTGCTTAGTAGTAGCGACTAGTAATGTAAGTAGTAATATAGGTACCTGATTAAGAAACCCTGGGTCTCTATCAGGGCTCTTTATATGGATCCTACTGTTTTGGAGTTCTGGGACCATGGTTGCTTAATCCGGTTCCTATACTGCGAATTACTTCCCGAGCCTGAGCCCTAAACCCTAAACCCTAAACCCTGAACCGTCGATCCCAAACCTTGAACTGTGAACCCTAGGCCTTAAAAACTAAAACCTGAACCCTGAACCCTGACAGGAACCCCTTAAAGGAACCCCACCCTCAAAGGAACCCTAAACCCTTACAGGAACCCCTTAAAGGAACCTTCAAAGAACCCTAAACCCTCAAAGGAACCCCTTAAAGGAACCGGAAAAGAACCCTAAACCCCCAAATCCCCGAACTTACCTTTGGTTAATAGGGAATGGAAGAATGGTAGTAATAGTAGTTACAATTGTACCCCATTCCTCCATTCCCTACTAACCAAAGGTAAAGATCCCTTTAAAGGAACCCTAAACCCCTATAGATCCCTTTAAAGGAACCCAAAGATAAGCAAAGGAGTCCTACTTGGAGGATCATGGGACTTAGTATAAACAAGATAACTATACTTACAACTCCAATTAGGGTACATATAATCTTACTTACTAAGCCCCATTATCCTCCGAGTAAACCTCCGGATCCCCAAAAGCTTGGCCCCGGACGTGGACCAGTCGAGAAGGTTCACGGCGGCCCCGGGTCTTAGCCGACCTGAGTCGCGTTTCGGGCTGTTTAGGGGGTTAGGGGTTAGGGGTTAGGGGTTGGGGGTTTGGGGGTTTAGGGGTTTAGGGGTTTATGGCCTTAAGGGTTTGAGGGTTGGGGTTTAGGGGTTTGGGGTTTTGGGTTTAAGGGTTTAGGGGTTTGGGGATTAGGGGTTTAGGGCTGAGGGGTCTAAGGGTTTGGGGGTTGAGGGTCTTAGGGCTTAGGGACTTGGGTTTGGGGTTTATGGGTTTTGGGTTTTGGGGTTTAGAGGTTTAGGGGTTTGGGGTTTAGGGGTTTGGGGTTTAGGAATTTGAGGCTTAGGGGTTAGGGTTTGGGGTTTAGGGGTTTGGGGTTTATGGTTTTAGGAGTCCAGGGTTTACAGTAGGGGCTTAAGGTTTAGGGCTAAGGGTTTAGAGTTTTGGGTTTGGGGTTTATGAAGGAATATTCCCTAATGCATAATAGGGATCCTTAGTGCGAGTTAAGTTCCTGAATCAGGACGTTTTGAGGTCTGGGGAAGTGAACCGCGGTTTAAACGCCTGCGTCTTAAGCTCTGGCCGAGAGAGACCAAGAACACACCTTAAGTTACAATATCGAGACCTTTAATCTCTTCACAAACTGAGATATGAATGTTGGGCTCTCTGGGAAGGTGCACTGGGAACAAGGCAGAGGGCTTCGACGAGCTTCTCAAGGCCCATGGACGCTTCGCCTGCAATGCATGCAAAGGGGCCTACGAGAGTTCAAAGGGGCCTCTGCTTTAGGGTTTAGGGTTTAGGGTTTACGGTTTAAAATTTAGGGTTTAGAGTTTAGGGCTTAGGGTTTAGGGTTTAGGGTACTAGCCTCTTCGGTGCTCAGCGATCACTCCGGTCCCATGGAGGGCCGCCCGCTTTTGCTTCTGTTCTCTTTACACGCTTTGAGGCCTTGGCATGTCACTGCCAGCTCTCGCCAAATATATCTGCCCTGTGAAGCAACGCTTTAAGGAATTCCACCCGATCTAAGAACCTACTTGGAGGATCATGGGACTTAGGGTTCCTGAAAGGGCTCCTTAAGAGGCTCCTTTTGGAGGCTTCTATACGGGATCTAGGGATTTAGGGTTCAGGGTCTACTTGGAGGATCATGGGACTTAGTAACTAGGGTTATAAATAAGGTAACTATACTTATAGCTCCAATTAGGGTACTTATAACCTTACTTGCTAAGTCCCATGATCCTCCAAGTGTCCACCATACTGACATTCCTTATCCCTCCTTCTCCTGTCCTCATGCTTCTTTCCAACGCTTGGAGGGATGCAATTACCGTAGATGGCCTGAAGCACCCTAAACCCTAAACCCTAAACCCTACCGATGCGAGAAGGTCAGCTGAAGCGTAGACATGGCGGCCTTGGCTGGACGGATCCTTATCCGGTAGGTCGAAAAGCAGCTGCACGTACATGTCGAACTGCTTCTCCTTGCAGGCACTACTTTCATCAAGGACCCGACAACTGTGTGCACCCTAAACCCTGAAACCTAAACCCTAAACTCTAAACCCTGAAACCTAAACCCTAAACCATAGGTCGGGACATGCCGGAGGGCACGCCTTGATTCCCAGATCCCGCAAGGCCGTCATGACATTGGCATCATATTTCCTGGCAACTCAGGGTTCAGGGTTTAGGGTTTCGGGGTGGCTTCTGTTGATCCGACGGACCAAGGGCAAACACGGCAGGCAGCACATGGTCGCAAACTCTTCCTTCGAGATGAGTCCGCTTCCATCCTGGGCGAACTCCGAACCGAGGGTGGCCCTATTACAAGTACTATGACTCTTACTGTTACAGCTGCTGTTACTGTCGCTGTTACAACTACTGTTATTGCTACCGCACGATTGCTATCACGATTACTGTGACACTATCACGCTTGCTTTACTGTTGCTGCTACTTTTGCTATTACTGCTACTACTACTGTTACCACTACTATTAGTGTGCCTATCAGTGCTACTTTCAAGTAACTATGACTCTTACTCTTACTCTGACTCTTACTTGTACCAGTACTACTACGATTACTGCTCCTAGTTTTAAATCAAAGCCCGGCACTTTGGCCTGAGCCGGCCTGCTCCATGGCCGGCCTGCTCCATGGCCTCCAACCCTGCGAACCCCGTTCATTTTGGATGAACCTCCTGCTCTGAGATAGGGTTTAAGGTTAAGGACTTACTTGGCAATGTCTCAGTGTTGAGCTCTGACATAGGTTTTAAGGCTTACTTGGCAAGCTCTCAGTGTTCAACAAGCCTCAGGTCATGTGCAGGTGCCGTGTCGGAAAGGCTAGAGACTGGTAGAAAAAGCTACCCACACTGTGCACGTTTGGCTCTGTGGACTGGCATTGATACGATTGATGATATAATTCCTGCTAGGTGTCGTTGCAGAGACACGAGGTTTGGCAGCCCCGAAGATCCAAGAGTAGAGCATGAGATCTTCACGCACGGTTTAGGGTTTAGGGTTTAGGGGTTTAGAGTTTAGGGTTTAGGGGTTTAGGGTTTAGGGGTTTAGGCTTTAGGGCCTGATCTGCCTACGGCGCCCAAAGCTCGCAACAGCTTCGGTCCCTCACCGCCTACATAGCAACCCCAACCCTGGAACCCCAGACCCTGGAACCCTAAACCCTTTTGGTAACAAAGCGCTTCGGACAGCTACTTTTTCGCCACTATGCTCAAGGCGCCTTTGAGAGTAATGTTGCGGTTTGCATTCATGTTTGATGCTTCCTACCGCACTAGCACTTTACAATGAAGGCTACCTAGGCATGCGCTCAGGCTACACATTGCAAAACGAGGAGGTATTCTCACCCGTCTTATCTACTGACGCATGCCGGCTGTCAAGACTAAAACTGTACACCAAAAACATGCAAGCGACTCTGCGGCAACTACTAGATCGCTATTCCAAGCTACTACTAGCTCGCGATTTCCATGCCAATTCACATGACTCAGCACACCTCGTCCTTAAAGGAGTCTCAGGTTTGTCACTGGTCACCTTGTTGTGTGCCCTTCTTGATCTTCTTCTCTGGGTCACTGAGGTAAACCTTGGCTTCACGCATTACCTTGAAAAGCTGATATGGCTTCATCGACTTTGTCAATGCGTCGGCGAGCTGTGTCGCCGTATCAGTCCAGCGAAGGCGGTCACCATGACCATCGTAGACCGTGTAGGTTTTGCTATCGCCCTCCCATAGTTGTTGACGCATCGATTCTAGCTCGATGGCGAGTCGTCGATCGGTTACCTTGCTCGCTTGGCATGAATTTAAATGGTCTGTCAAGCTCCGGCAATCGGAAACCCATTCATGTCTCATGACCTTCTGAGTGGTTTCCATCCAATCCTTGAGGACCGGCAACTGGCCCCTCAACTCGCATAGAATAGCCCGTAGCCGGTCACCACTCTCGACCGCAGCCTGCATCGCATAGGTTTCAGCCTGAAGGGTGCTTCTACATACCCGGCGAATGGTTGTCGAACCATAGCCGATGATGTGCGCGTCGTGCTCATTGGTATCCACCATCTTCTCCGATGTGATGTAGTGGAATCGGCCTTGTTGGCTCCGTAGCCCTTCTTCTCCGGCATGGCTTGCATCCGAGAAGCTGACCACACACGCATCATGCCATGAGAATTTTCCCGCTGGGTAATACATTGCGATTCCCATATCCGCCTTGGCTAGATCCACCACTCGGTTGGCATCCCTCAAGTCGGCCACTGTTGCCCTCGCGCAAGCACGCTGCAAGCAGTTGACTCGGTAGCACAAATCCGGACGCGAGTACCTTGCAACCCACGCTAACGAGCCTACTACACTGCGCAACCGTGTCACATCTTGTTCCGTTGCTGCTTCTGTGCCCTTGCGGTTCGGATCGATACTGATGTGCCGAATGGACCTTGTGTTGTCCTCCGTGTCGATGGTCACGTTGAAGTCGGCATCCTGTCTAAACCTCCGGCCGCAATACCGGAAATCCGTGTCCTCAATCTTCCCCATGTCAAACTTGGCCATGATCTTGTCCATGATCTCTTCTCCTTCTGGCGTCGCACACCAAAGCAGGTCATCTACATGGGTCCCCAGCAGCACTGCAGGAAGGTTGTCAGACCCTAGCACGTAGTACAATCCAGTTGCAATCTTGCTTACCTTGAGTCCTTCCTCACATGACACATTGCACAGACGTGTGTAGAACCCTCTGCCAGCATCCATTGTGCCATACACCGGCAACCTACACAGCAACATAGCTTCTGGCGGCACACCGGGCAATCCTCCTCGCGGCTGCTTCATGATGATTACCCTTTCCAGCGGTTCTGACTGAAAGTATGCCGAAGAGATATCCCCGCACCTGAGCTTTATCTTGCGGCAAGCCGCGTAACTTGCGATCAGACAATGGGTTTCTGCGTCCACCGTGGGCGCATCACACCTTAGCTCATTTCGGGAGACGTTCTCGTAGTTTCCGCACGACACCAGTCTGCTCCTGTACCTTGGCTGGTAGTCGCTCCGACCTTTCTTGAATTCGTTCTTGTCGACATCCACCCACTGGCTTGGGATCGGGATGTGTCCTTCTCGAAGTAGGCCTTCTAGCATTGGTCCCATAATGGGAACTGCTGCATTGTACTGTTTGTACTTTTCCCATTCTTGTCCTCGGGCCTCGTGAATCCCTTGGGCTGTTTTCTCATCCACTCTGTTGATGTCAAGCTTCTTCGGCTTCTTACCATTCACTGCTTCACCGAACGGTTCATTTTTGGGTAGTATTCTGTCACTCAAGAATGCCTGATACTCCGCTGACTCCACCTGCGCCTGAGGTAATGAAGATAATTCCGCCTCAGTATCAGCATACTTGAACAACGTGAATCCCGTCCACGGTCCATCTGAATTCTCATCTGCTTCGCGAACCATTCCCCACTCATCGGTAACATGATCTGTTCTTCCACCTGAAAAGGTTTTGTGTGTTACCCTTGTGTGACTCACCCGACTAATATCACCTGGGAAATCATCGGCACTTGGGGTGTAGAGGCCTGTTCTGGGCTTCATGTGCACCCTGAAGAAGAATCCCGTAGCCACACGCCAATGATCCTCAGTCATACCTCGGGTCATCAATGATTCCATGGGGAGGTCGCGCTCTTGCGTCACTGACTCCTTCGCCTGAGTGTCCACGACCTTGACGTCGTCCTGATGATGTTCTCCCTGATGACAATCGGCTGTCATGCACGAACTCCCTGTTGCTCTGGCTAGTGCTTTCAATGGTTCCACATTAAACCCTTGATCAGCGAGGTCCTTGTGCTGTTGCTTTGTCAATTTAGGAAAACCTCGACTGGCGTATGCTGAAATAGACCATCTCTCACCTTCAAAAGGAAGTGTAGCATGCGCCTGATCAGGTCCGAATGTCACGACCCTGTGCTTGCACTTCAGAATTCTCCCATCCTGACCTTCGTAATCCATGCGCTTGGACTGGCCTCCAGGGTCTTGAACCCATATCTGTCCTCCTTCGTGAGGTCCTAAGCTGGTGAGTTGATTCACCGATCCTGGCATGTTGTGGTTGTCCGTGTGCTTCGGGGTCTCTGCATTCAAATGAATCACGAAGCTGGACCACCCCTCCGTAGCCCCACGTGCGCGTAGGTACTCGTTCACATACAGAACAAGCCATGGGTGCTCCAATGTTGCTTTTGTCACCCCTGAAAACGGACCATGCGCATAAGTTCCAAAGCTCATGCACTCACCGGTCTGATTGATGTCCCGCTTCCTCTTCTTCGGGAACTGACATGCTCTCAACACCTGCAAACATGTTCTCGGAGTGTAATCTTCGTGTTCCAAGGCCTGTTTGGCTAGCCTTTCACACTCCGTCATTGTATTTCCATCTGCTTGATGTGCTTCATGCGCGGTGTTGTTCTGCTCAGCTTGATGTTCCGGGATTGTGCCCGTCTTATCTATTGCTGTATTCCCTTGTCCTTCGCTTTCATCACTGGACTCTGAGCTTGAGCTGCTTTCGCTGCTGCTTGGAATGGGAATGTCCTTGGACGCTGCTCCCTCTTGTTTCCGCTTCTTCGCGTCAGGCTGCTTAGCTGCTTTTGCTGGTTCTGTCTTTTGACGCTTGTCAATGTATGCTTTCTTGCCTCTGGGTCCCTCTGTCAACTCTGTAGGCAGCAACGGGATCCCCTGTAGCATGCAATGAGACATGACTTCTTCTTCGGTAGCTGGGCGTAGGGCATGAACTGAGCACAATACCGGCACTCCACCGTGTATAACCCAAATCGACTCTGACCCTTCCTTACCGATCACTCTTGATGCGCTGCTCCACTTCGTTCCACCAGCCTGAGCATCTCGCCGATACACGACATAATCACCTGGCTGGTAATCCTCCTTGATCGGAGCTGCGTTCCGGGTCAATGCCTTTTGGACTCTGCGACTGCAATCCAAATGAATCATGGCTTTCTTCGCAGCCATTCTTGCCTGATGCCGTGATGCGAACTCGCTGCTCCCATCGTGCTTTGATTCCATTGCACCTAAGTCCAGCCATCCGTGCTCATCGGTCATCGCTCCTGGATCCCTTGGGTTTCGGCCTGTAACCCACTGCATTGGACTGTACCCAGAAGTATTCATCATTGCATTCTTGACTCCGATGACTTCTTGAACCACTGCTCGGATCTCTGAAACCCCTGTGGTACCCACTTCATGCACTACCTTTCTCACCACGGCTTTCGCAAGCCCTCCGTGCCTTTCTACTTTCCCAATCATCCATGGGGCCTCGGTCGCGGCGTACCTTATGTCAACTCCTTTCTCTGATGCCCACTTGTTGAATATGCCCCGATTGTGGGTGCCACGGTCTGCCATGAGCACTCTTGGCAACCCTAGCCAAGTTACCCATCTTTGGACTGCTTCCAAACAAGACTCTGCGCTTGGTGGTCCTGCGTGCTCGCCTACCGGTCGAAGCACTTCAAGCTGCTGAAAACCTGATGCCATGTCGACTAAGTTGACGCACTGATACTTCTGCTTTCCCGAATCGGAAATTTCAAGAACGTCAATCCCCAGAACATCTCCCACTCGATACTCTCCGTGTCCCAAACCTACGGGATGAGGCCTCGGCTTCCCTGATGTTTTGATGCACGAATCACACTTCGCTAACTTGGCTGCCTCGATGAACTCCTTCGATGCACCTCCGGCCTTGAGTATCGCCACTAGGGTCTTGGGCGCTGGGTGATTGAACTGCCGATGGAGTCTCCTGATTGCCACTCGAACCTTTTGCGGTAGCATTCGCCACATCTTGCGTCTCTCGGCTTCCGATTTCGGCACTCCTGGTAGTGGTAGTGTTTCCAACCACTCGCGCTCTCGCTCTAATGGGGTAAGTTGCGGTTGCCCGGCTTGTTCCAGAATGCGTTCAACTGCGTCTTCAATCTCCCGATCACCCTCATTCTGAGCGTTCCGATTCTCATCTTGTGCTCCCTGCGGCTCTCTCTCTGGGTTCATTTCTGTGTCTGAGTTTTCCAGATCTAACTCCACATCCTGACCATCACCTCCCGATTCGGCAACCATGGCTGTGGAAAGCATCTCCAAATAAGCGTCATCAGCCAGTGATTTCAGGAAGTCGCGAAAGGAATAGGAGTTTGTATCCGTGTATGCTTTTGGGGTGTACCCGTTACCCTCAAACCATGTAACGATATCACGCCCCACTGTGCTGGCCAACGGTCCAACACAAATCGTGTTTGCATCACCTCGACACTCATGAATCTGCACTCCGCAATCCGGGATCTTTCCTAGGGGTGCTACCACACAGACTGTCACTCCAGATGCATCCGACTCGCACAGAAGATCTACGATAACACTCCGTTCCGGTTCCGATGCCTTGTAGACGATTACCCTGGCCTGAACTCGTTGATCTCGTGAACCAGTCGGCTCAACTTGAAATCCTTCGCGGAATGTTGGGAGATCCCAGTGCCATCTTGGAATGGCTGATTGTCGTGAATGAGGATGAGGGAAGTTGGCTTCTCCGTATCATCATGTGTCATGCCCGCAGTCATGTGAACAAATCTGTCCATGTGGCTCACCACTCTCACTCCCGAATCATACGTACTAGACTGCTGCTTCGACATGAGCACTGCTGTGTATGCCGGATTCCGCATTGACTCGCTGTTCGGAAACTGTACAACCACGAAATCGCTCGCATCCGGCACGAAGCGAGTGGTCCCTGCAGCAACCGGGCCATACATCTGCCATCCCGATGGGCGCCGAGCGAATGTCACCTCCACCCACCTGAGAGCCTTCAGCTCATTGGCAAGATTGCTTACGGCCTGGTCTGCATCCTTGTACACCTGTACCTTGATATTCCGCTGAATGTTCTCGTGCGCGGATCCTGGTCCAATCCAGGTCATGACTCTGGGCTTGAAGATATGCCGGGTCTGAGTGGGCCGCATCCAATGCACACCAGTTGCAAAAATACGCTCGACGATTCCATTAGTCATCCAACTCTGGAAATCAATACGGCCACGCCAATCGCCTGCACCATCGCTGATCATCAGTTCCTCCATTTCGGGGTAATCCCCAGTCGTCGCGACGGATGCATTAGGTGCCACTGTCGGCCGCCGTTGCAAAGGCGATCGGCTCCTCCACGGCGGAGTCACATCCCTGGCTCGCTGCCTCGGGAGTGGCTCTCTCCCCCTGCTCGCGGGCTCCTCCCTGGCATCCCTCCGAGTCTCAAGCAAACCTGCCAGCCTACTCACCTCCGACTCCAACGCCTGAATCCTAGCCAATGCCACCGGATCAGTCGTCGTCGCAGCACTCTCAGCCGGAACAGACCCAGCAGGGCTCTCTGATCGGGAAGAAGGCTTCGGAGCAGAGCTCACAGCTCGGGAAGTCGATGGCTTAGGGGCAGCAACACGCACGGCCGGCTCAAGATCATCAGGAATCACAACACGCACAGCCGGCCTGGCCTTAGCCTTCACCTTCGAACGAGGCTCAAGATACTCGGTGCGTTCTGCTCTCACCTTCGGCTTCGGCTCTGCGCGCTCGCAGGTCCATTTTCCATAAAACTTCGCCGCGTTCGTGGGCCGTCCTTGCGCCCTTGTGATCCATTGGCGAGCCTCCTCCAAGATGTTCTCGACTTGATGAGTCGTCCATCTGTCTGACCAAGTGCAAATATCACAACGGCCATAACAAGATCTCATCTGAGGCCATGAGCTCCTCTCGCCAGTGTGCACAATCTGAAGCCTCGTGCCCTCCGGCACTACCGCATCTGTAAGCTCCGCGCCTGCCACTGATCTATGCCGAGACTGATTACAGATATAAATTGCATAACAACGCTTCGGTCGCACCGATCCATCCTGCTCCAGCCGCTGCTTGAGCTCGCGCATGTTTGCAAGGAAGTTCTCATCTCGTAGCGGTGCCGCAAGCGTATCGGGGTGCCTCCCCACATGTCCACGAGTCTGTGGCCGCTCCTCTGGGTCATGCAACCGCAGAGTATCCATCACAAAGATAGCTGTATCGTCCGCAATGCGATGATCTGGAAAGCATGCTTTCGCCAACAACACAGCCCTCTGATGGGAAGGATCTCTCAAGTACTCCGCAGCCTGCACAATAAAGTTACGACCGGTCGATGCCGCGTAAACCTCCATGGGGGGCAGAGCCTCGAGAACCCCTTCACTGCTTCGCGCCACTCTCTCGCTCTCAGTGGTAGCTGTGTAGCTAGCAGTCAACACTGCCTGTGATGTTCTGAGCTTCCGAATGGCCTTAGGCAACTCCGTCTTCTGTCTCAAACCCTTGGTCAAGTTGATGCACAGAAGATTACTCCCCCTGGCTCGGGCTAATGGAACCATCCATTCTTGGCCATCCTTTCGAAGGTAACACCGAAAATTCCCCATGTCCTTCACCAACCCCAACTTACTCTGTGCAAACTGCGACATGAGAAGCGGAGCCGTTGTGTCGTCAGGTAGGACATGCACATCCATCAAACCCGAAGTAAAATCCCGATCTCCACTGCTGTTCGGGTCATGGGTCAAACCATCCTTGCCACCACGGTCAAGGAGTGAACTCCCGAAAGTTTCAATGCTGAAGGGAATCCGCCGGGTACCAACGGTTGAGGCGCTGTGGGCAAGTCCATTGAATGTTTTGGTTTCGGAGGAAATCCACGGGCACTCGAATCCCAACTCCCTCAACTTGGACTCCGTTCTGTTCATCCACTGACCACCGGCAACGCTGCTGTTTGCCCCTTCATCCAAAGTAGCCCAAACATCTTCGTCTTCCATAATGTCAACCACTGGGAGAATCAATCCAACCTCATCGTTAGGCAGGGGTCCGGGTTCCTCAAGAGTTGCCATGAATCCCGAACGTCGTGGCGCATATCCTGTCCTCTGACGGCTTGCCGATGGAGCTGCAGAGGGTCCAGACCAATCCGTCACACCTACCGGTCCACGAGGTGGATCAGGTTCTTCGGCCACTTGTGATGCTTCAATGCAATCTTGGAGTATGCCATGCAAGATTTCTGCCGAAATGGTAGGCTTTGCTTCTCCAGCTACATCTTGTGCTACCATGTGGTCCTCTACCTGGGTTCTGAAATCGTCCAAGACAACCACTGCTTGCTCGGTAGTCAACTCCGTACCCTGACTCACGGACTGCTGAATGCTCGATACCAAGTCAAACGACGCTGCCGACATGGTCTCAACCTCTCTTCCTATCGCCTGTCGTCTCTTCGCTTCCTCTCTCGGCATCTCATCAATGAAATTCCCGCAATCCTTGCAGAATACCCTCATCGTTGCCTTATTGGAACCTAGCCGGTTTGTGTTCTTGTGCTCACAAAGGTTGATGTCTTTCTTCTCTGGCATCTCCTTCTTCGTCTTCTCAATCTTACCGCAATCTTTGCAAGTCTTGACCTGCACATAAGCGTTGGTTCCCAAGAAACTGAAATCTGTGCATTTCCGACAGCTCACGGGTAATGGTGGATTTGGCGGCTTCTTCTTGGCTGATCTGTGCGCTGATCTTGCTGGTATCATCTGATCTGATGCTGAAGCTTCTGCGCTGGGGACTCCCATTTGGTCGAGCGGGACTTCTCGCCGGGAGACTTCCATCGTCTTTTGATCGATGGTGTAATAGTTGTGTACCCAATCCAGATACTGAGACAGATACAAGGACGGAGCTCGTTCGTTGAATCCCCATGACGCATATCCCGGAAATCGCCATGTGACCTCTTCATAAGTTAACCCTCGATGCTGTCCAAATAGGAACTTCTTGTCACCACCTGGAGGAACCTCATCCCTCATTGTTCCTCCCTTGGTCAACCTGCTTGGGCTGTGCCTGTACGCCATCATCGCATGAGGACTTGCCGAATCATCCGAAATCAGCAAACAATCATCCTCTGAACTCGAATCCGATAGCGTAGCCAAGAATGCTTGCTTAGCTGGGGTCTGGTTGGGTGCCTGACCTCCACGTCCTTTCGGGCACTGTGGATCCCCACTCCAATGTCCAACTTGGCCACATTTCATACACCTCGATTTGCTCTTGATCTCCTGAAGGCGCTTTTTCCTATCCTCAATGCTCAAGTTCGACTT